CAGTGTAAATAAAGATGGAGTTTGTTATTTTCGGCTCTTAGGTATTATTTCATTATTTGATAATGTTCTCGTAAAATGCAAACAATTAAAAAAACGGACTTACCACTAACTGTCTCAGCGCTTCACCTGGTGTATGAAAGTTTATTGAACGTAATAAAAAAATCCATTTATACAGGGTTATCCAAATTAAGTGTCCACCATTAGTAACTTTGTTATTAGTGAAAATACAAAGTTGTTTGAATTAGCAAACTAGTAGCATTTTTAACGCTGGTAAAAATGAGAAATAAAAAAAAACAATTGAGAGTCGTTATTTTGATTTTTTTCAGTAAAATAACATTTTTTTAAATGGAAACCCCTGTATATTATATTTTTTCTGTTAAAGCATCAAATTTTAAACAAAAAAGTTCATAATGACTTTTCCGCTAAAGTCAAAATAACGATAAATATTTTTAATTATTTGCAGTATTACAATATTAAGACGGCTATGAAAACAACATGGCGTTCGCGATTTGACAGCATTAAGATAAGCGACAAATTGTTAAACTGGACATACTCGCAACTAGAAGGCTTTGGAAAACAATGATAAAATCAAATAATGTCAAACATTAGTGTAAATACTTGTTTATAAGCTTTATTGTGTCATTAATTTAAAGAAAAATGTTCTCCCATGAAGAAAAGTGTGATATGTTAGAATGCTATTTAGTGTGCAGAAAATCCTCCTTGAGAGCAAGATAATACTACAGTGAATTATATCCCGCTCGCATTCAACCGTGTGTGCTGATATCTGCATTGATTTCCACGATATTTAAAATTTGTTCCTCCTGCTCTACAGTAACCTGTCTTTAACGAGTGCGAATATTAGTGGGCTGATCACTTCCTGTATCTCGAAGTCTTTGGTACACTTGAACAAATGTCCTTCGGTTTGGGTGTACCCGTTGGCGAAATCTGTCGCGCAACATTTGAGCTGCAAGATTTGAATTCTGACGAGCTTTACCGTAAACTAACAACATGTCGGCGAACTCTTGATTCGAGAACATTGTAAATAAACACGACGACGTACGCGAACAAAAACAGAACAACATACTAACCACTGTTACCGTTTGCGATCGATTGCCGGTTCGATAAGAGTGATGAAAGACTGACGCGCTGTTGTCATGCGTGTTTTAAATATTTAAGTTAACGAAACTTACTTACTGACTACAAATTTTGGATTAACTTAGAAAAACTTAATGCCATTTATTTGTTAATTACCCAATTTAAAAACGTTTTAGATTAGATTATAAAAATTTGTAAGATTGTGGTGATTGTGGTCGATATAAAGCACTTAAAGTTGTAAACTATCAAGCCAATTAGACAAAAATCTATTGACTTTTGAACCATGGGTCATATGAACTTTTTGACTTGTTTTGACCCCCCCCCCCCTATTACCCATTTCAATAATGACTACCATAACGTTTACACCCTGTATAAAAAATATCAATATCCTGTTAGAGCAGGAACGTCGCTAGCGATTGAAACCAGTTGATTATCTTGCATGGGAACTATCACGTGATGTCTCAACCGGTAACAAAGCTGAAAATGTAATTGTATTGAACAATGTGTTCAAAAGTTATTTAATTTTGAATAGAACAGATTTCCAGTAGTGTAATTTAGAGGCCTGTATTTCCGAGATTGACGTATTATTTTGGGACACCCTGTATACAGGGAATGTATCCAGTATCCTGTATTGTACGGCTATAGATGAAAGGACGTCCCCTTAGAAATAAAAATTGACGTTTTTCCCAAAATATACCAGAAGAGTCGCAAATGGGCGTGCGACATTTTCGTTGGACCGCCCTGTATAGGTTTTTTACATAGTAACCCTGCAGATCAGATGCTTGCTACAATAAATATCTAGTTGAACATTATGTGAAAATTGGTGCTGTTATGTCATTGTCACTATATTGATCCAAAACCACGTTGCACTTATGTTACACTATACTACAACTATTTAAAACTGTAATGACTCATACGCGTGATCAACACGTGATCAGAGCTCGATCCCGGCTTCCTTCCAGTACAGCCGTATAGCGTGCGACATATGTCGTTTCTGTGGCTTTGCGGTGGTCAACAGCACATACAGAGAAGGGAAATAATGGCTGATTGTTCTCCGCCGGTAGAACCAATGAAATCAAAGACGCGCCTCGACCGACAGACTCATAGGCGTCGGCAACGCATTGGAACGTGTTTCGTTGAGCGATCGCATATTGTGTGTTTTTATAAGAATTGTTGTGTGATTGTTATTGTTGTGGTTTCTGTGGTTACTGTTTTGGTTATACTTAACCATGGAGAGTACAAATGGCACAAGTGGAAGTACTGAAAGCCAGGGAACAAGTAGACGGCTTCGTAAAGCACTGAAGAGAGACGCGAAAGAAATCGTGCTCAACGTGTTCAATTATCTGAATAGAACTATGTCGCAGGGAGATGCACTCGCGCGTTGTGAAAGTATGACAGGCGTTCCAGAGTGGACCATTCGCAGGGTGGTGCATGAAAAGAAGAAAACTGGAGCTACTGCTGATCCAAAGTTTAATTTGAAGGGACGAAAGGCCGTTAAATTGGATGACGATAGCAAAATGGCTTTAAGGCGAACCGTACATTTATTCTTCTTTAGGAATGAGATACCAACCCTCAAGGCTGTACATGCAGCGATCAAGGAAAATGAAATTATACCCCAAATGAGCGTCGAGGTAATGAGGAAATCCCTGCACGAAATTAATTTTCGTTACGAAACGCGTAATCGGAAGCCAGTATTGATAGAGAGACCTGAAATAGTCGCCTGGCGTCGAAAATACCTACGCGAAATGATTGAATATAGGCGACGAAGCAGAAAAATCTATTATTTGGACGAGACATGGGTAAATGTAGGTCACACAGTTAAAAAAACCTGGATAGACAAAAACGTAGTGAGTAACCGACAAGCAAGCATTGAAGGTTTGTCAACAGGTCTTCGTGGACCGTCAGGGAAAGGTCAAAGATTGATCGTAACTCATATTGGTAGCGATAGTGGCTTTTTAAAAGAGTGTGACTTGATTTTCGTCTCTAAGAAAGGAGGTGATTACCATGACGAAATGAATGCCAGCTGCTTCGAGAGCTGGTTTCAAGGGGTGCTTCAGCGAGTTGAGCCCAACTCTGTGATCGTCATGGATAATGCTACCTACCATAGTCGTCGAGCCGAACGTGTACCGACTATGGGATCTCGAAAAAGTGACATGCAGCAATGGTTGCGCGAAAAAGGAATCCCGTTTGACGATTTATGTGTGAAAGCGGAATTGTATGAAAAAATTAAACAGCACAAACCTGCGAACATTAGTTACGTGACTGATGAGATGGCCCGTCAATATGGTGTCACTGTGCTGCGGTTACCGCCCTACCACTGTGAACTGAACCCAATAGAGCTCATCTGGGCTCAAGTGAAGGGTTATATTGCGAGCCATAACACAACCTTGAAATTACCAGACGTTAAGGTTTTACTTGAGACTTCCATACAGCTAGTAACGCCCGAAGCTTGGCAGAATGCTATCCGTCATGTTTTGAAGGAAGAAACAAAAATGTAGCAGCTTGACCACCACATCGACACCATCATAGAGCCAGTTATAGTCAATTTCAACGAGGAAAGCGATAGCGATAGTTTATTACCGTCAGATGTAAGTGGAAGCGACGATGAATAAAGGTAATTTCCAAATTTTTGACTTACAATATGTTTCAAACCACTCTTTATTAAGCATGTGACAAATCTAGTTCACCCATGTTAAACATTCATACCGCGCCTATGAACAGCCGACTACTGGTAGTTAAGTGATGTTCACGTGAACATCGATGAGTCATTACAGTTTTAGATAGTTTTAGTATAGTAGTATGCATGTTTACTTCTTCTACATATTAATTTTTTGAAGTCAATTAATACAGGGTGGCAAATATATAACTGACTGATTTAAATTAAAGCACTTGTGTCCAATTCATCATGGAGCGCTACACGATCCCACAACGCGTCCGTATTGCTAAAACGTTTTACTTAAATGATGAGTCGATTGTTGCAACGAATCGGAAGCTACGACAAGATTTTGGTCGAAATAATGTGCCCAGTATCAACACTATTCGTCAGTTGGTGCGGAAATTTTAACAAACAGGTCAAGTTAAAGACGTGCCGTGTTCGGACTGTTCGTACTCCGGAAAATATCGATAGAGTCCGTGAAAGTGTAGTGGAGCGCCCTGAGAAGTCTACCAGACATCGTTCTCAAGAACTGGGTATTCGTTGCACGTCATTATGCACTATTTTATAAAAAGACTTGCATTTGCTGCTATACAAAATTCAGTTAACCCAAGAACTACAGCCTAGTGATTATGAAAATCGCCCACATTGCAGTAATGCAATATTGCAGCTTAATACCCAAAATAACGATTTTTACCGACAACTGATAATGAGCGATGAAGCCCACTTCACGACATAAATGAATTTGTTAATAAGCAGAATTGTCGCTACCGTGATATGGTTCCAGCAGGTCGGAGCAAATTGTCTCACAACTAGGGAAACAATGAATCTTTTGCGAACAATAATGCCGGGACGATTAATTTCTCGATTTGGTGATGTCAGGTGGCCATCGAGGTCACTGAATTTAATGGCTCCTGTCTTTATACTGTGGAGCAGCTGAAAAACAATATTACGGAAGCGATTGAAAATATTCCTCCCGAAACCTACCAAAAAGTACTGGGAAATGTGATCAAGAGGACTCAGGTTTGGGCGACTTCTAGAGGCTGACATTTGTCTGATTTTATTTCATTTCACAAATATTCAAGATACAAACCAGTCAGCTACATATCGGCCACCCTGTACCTCTGGTTCTGCGAAAAGGATATTGAACATTGAAGAGCGTCAAATGTAATTTTTTGCTAATAAAAATGTTTTGTGAAACATACCAAAGAACAACAGTAGTTCTGTTATTTATTCATAATAAAATTTTGAGGTTCCGTCTGAAACAAGAAGGATCATGGGTCGACGTCGATATGCAGAATTCTTCAATATTAGAAATATACTTTCCCGTATATTCTTTGGTCATCAAGCCCGTCATAAACGAAAACAGCGATTTGAGTCAGTTGAAAATTAAAGAAGAGGTAGTAATCGAACCCACAACGGAATGTACTTCGCAGCTCTTAGCTACCACAGTAGATCACATCGATATCCTTCTAGAGGACTGGTATCCAACTTTAGGTAAGTAAAACCTAGTAATTCTTAGTATCTCGGAACCGCGACCGTCACTTAGGTTATTATAAGATTATTCAAAATCTATACTTTTCTGAGAACATATCGTTTTCTACGTTTGTTGTACAATAGGTTAGTCAAATTATACAGGGTGTCCGCAAAGTTGGGGTTTCCTTTTCAGAAACAACTACCCTTGAAATAACAAAGGTAATGTGTAGTGAAACGAGGGCGACCAAGTAAAAAAAAATAAAGGAAAAGTACTCACTCTCCAGTTGACGAGAAGGGCTAAGTACGTCTCTGCCCGAAATCATACCGCTCCAACAGAAAATGAAATCAGCTGATGCGCTACCGAGTAGTGGTGTTGGTTATCGTTACTTTCGAGTACTCGTTACTACAGTATATTCAGATAAGAGATAGATCGGACATAAACAAGACCACGTGATCATCGAACGCTGTAACATTCGGCAGGGACGTATTAAGAGTCACGCAGTACATATTTTAGATAGTAGATGCTGCTTTGCGTAACTTTGTAGTAAATTAGCACAATTCGATGTGTATACGATTGGTGATGGATATAGGATCATGTGGGGGTGGGGTAAGAAATATATAATGATGTAAATATACATAAGGGTTTCAAAATTTTCGCTTCGATTTCCAGCTTCGGATGCCGCCTGATGTTTGGTGAAATGCAGTCGAATATAATCTCAAAATGGCGTTTAAATTAGCCTAAATTAGAAATAATCGTATATCTCTTAAAATTGCTTTTAGAATATTGATTAGTATATTTTTTGATTTCTAGGTAAATATGTAACCAAATTAAAACGTTCAAAACGTAAAAAAATGTGCATGGTTGAACATTGTCAGAAAGTAGATTCTTGAATAGGTTTTGCCAAAATGGGTTCAAAAATGTCAATAATTAATTAATAAATACAGTAGCTTTATAATTACTTATAACTTACCGAATTTGATGAACGACATCTTTTATTGGAAAGATGAGCTTGATGAGCTTTCATCATCGCTACTGCCTGAAGCACCAACGTCAATAATGGATGGCTCGACTTGTTCCTCTAAAATATTGTCCAGTTCCCACATTCTCTTTTCAACTTTGTCTTTCACGTGCTTAATACAGTTTTCCCATTTTTGCGCTGTTATTAATTCTAGTGCTTCTTTGAAAAGTCCTTTGTGGTCACAAAATTTAAAAGTTGTATTGTGCTTAGCTATATAATTTTTAACCTCTGCCCATATGAGCTCAATGGGATTGAGCTCGCAATGGTATGGAGGTAAACGGAGCACAGTTTTATTTTGACTTGCTGCCATTTCGTCAATGGCGTATTTTTGATATTCCGCCTTGTGATCCTTGACAATTCTTAATAATTGTACTTTCAGCATTGCTTCTTCAAAGTTGATATTTTTCGAGCGGAGCCAATTTTGAACATCAACTTTCCTTGAAGCCGTTGTTGGGACCTTCTCCATTCTTCGAGAATGATAAGGCGCATTATCCAACACAATTACTGCGTTTTCCTCTAAGTTCGGTAAAATTTTTGAAAACCACTGTTCAAACGATTCGCCATTCATTTCCTCGTGGTAATCTCCAGTTTTCTTAGACTCAAAGCACCACACACCGTCAACAACAAATCCATCCTCACTGCCAATATGGCAGATAATGAGCCTTTTCCCTTTACCTGGAAATCGAAGTACTAACTGGTGTAGATTTATTTCAATAAGCGAACCTTTTTCAAATGTTTTCATCACATTCAGCGAAAAAACATTGAGACATGAGTATCAGATTGCTATAATTGGGATTATTTAGTCATATTGAAAGAAAGAATATTGAACGTCGTATGATTACTGAGCGCTTCACAATTTAATTTAAAGTTATAAACCTTTAAAAAATGAATGATCAGGAACCTGAAATACGCGCAAATATTAATATTAACAAATTATAACTTTATAAAGCTTAAAGTATGAATTAAAATGATTAGAAATATTAGGAACGGTACACAATATAAAACTTAGTAACTTTTTTTAAGTTTATAATATTCGACATATTTTAAGATTATATTAAAAAATTATTGAAATATCGAAAACACATAAAAACATGGCTTAAAAAAGTTCTAACAAATGAAAATGACAATAAAACATCCACGCATTTTATCGAAAGATATAAAATTTTGTTACTTGTAATATGTTTTATCTGCCCCCTGGAATTAATGTTTAGAACCTTGTTCCCAAGGTTTGAAAAACATCCGATTGTTGTCTATTACTCGTATTTACCTGCTGGATTTTTTAATCCGGTGGACAGTCCATCTAGAAAGGCCCTCCTGGATGAAGTTACAGAATCATCAACCCATACTTTACTTGTAATGTGTCCTGCGTTTACCCACGTTTCATCAAGGTAATAAATCTTCCTGTTTTGATTTCTATATTTCCCAATTTTTGTTAAATAATCCCTCCTCCATAGCACAATTTCTTCTCTATCCAGTAGTAAACTATTACGACCCCGTTTTTTCCATTTGAAATTTAAATGCTTCAGTAACGCATGGAAAGTTGATCGTTTGAAATTTGGCAACATTGTATCTCCATTTACCTCCTGCAGTACTTTATCTATAGTAGGTATTTCATTCCTAAAGAAGAATTCATGCACTTTCCTCCTAATCGCATGCTTATCAGCTTCATCCAATGATTTAACAATACTTTTGCGATGTTTACTGGTCATTGGCTCAGAAAAGGTGTGATTTTTTTTGTATTGTCTTAACACATTAAACACTGATGCGCGATACGCCCCAACTTTGTGAGAAACCTTCACAACAATTTCTTTGATGGTTGATGCCTCGTTCTCCTCGCGCTCGATCTTATATATATTCAAAATGACCTGTTTCATTTCTGCACTCAGGTGTCTTTTTTTAGAGCGTTTCCTAGGTGGACTACAGGAGTTTACAACTTCATCGGCAGTATCTGTACTACTGGGCATTTTGCGCAAGCAGTTGATAACAATAACAATCAATAACAAGGTATAACAATAACAACGACAAACTCAACAACTTAATAAGATAACAAACGAAAACGTCCAAAGAAATATCAAATTGCAATGATGCACACGACATACGTAACACGTCTGAACCTGAATGTGACTCTGCCTTGATACGACTGCTCTGCCGCTCGGCATAGGCATTTAATTGCGAATTGACCAATGAGGGCTCCTGTTTTACGTCGAGACGGCGGCGTTAGCGTGAAAATCACCCGAACCTTTTGTTTACATCCAGTCTACCTCTTATCTGAATATACTGTAATCGTTACTCTTCTACAAAGTAATCGTTTATTGTATTCGTTACTTTGATTACTATGAGTAGTATGAGTATAACGATTTGGCAATGTGCGTCGTGTGATTAATGTCGAATTTAAACAAGTTGAATGGAACCGAATCTTGTAAGAAAATAGACGACCTTAAAATTTGCAAAATGCATAGTTTATTCAAGACTATCGTGTTTAATGCAAACATTGTATCTTCAAACTGTATGCTTATCGAGATGAGTTATCATAAGATGGAGTGTCATATGACTCATAATATGAGCCTACAAACTGAAAATACTTTGTATTTACTAGAAATACTTAAAAACACGCCTTTTAGTCAGAAAGATGATCTGTATATGGGCTTAAGGAAATTCGAAATGGCATGTCACTTTTCGAAGCATTTCAATTAAGCATAATATACCAGTATAAAAAATTCTACGTTGAGCTTGGTCTACACATACTATTGGTGGTCATACTGAATTATAATTTTTTTAGCAAAACAGTGCATGGAAATACGAGTCAAATTGACATAACTTTTATTATTGTGGTTTTCCTGAACGGCGATGTTACCTTGTTGTCGCTTTTCTGCCTCATAAGACTGCCGAACTTTGATCCGATCCAATCGACTACTTATTCCTTTTCAGGTTCCCAAGATCACAACAATAAAAGCGAATTTGTGTCACGGTGTAAATAGGTAAACTTCAGATTTAAAAACAATGACCAAATTCTATGTCCGCCAATAAAAAAAATGAGTTTCCAGGTTTCCATCTGAATGTGGGATGTCTGCATGAGCGGTAGTGCTACAGTCTAACAACATTACCACTCAGCGATCAACGATTGTACAGGTACCGGGTAGGGATACGGAAAACTGAGTAATCAAAGTAATCATTTCGTGTTCGGATTGGTACTCGTTACTTCGGGTATCTATGAGTAACGAGTATTCGAGTTTCGTATGATTACTCTTTCAACACCACTACTACCGAGCAGGCGCAGGCAAACAAGGAAGGCAAAATGTTGCGTAAAAAGTTCTAGGTATTGCATCCCGTCCAATCGATTTGGGAGAATAAATGGTCCAATGAGCATACCGTTCACCATGCCAGCCCAAACATTCACCGAAAATCTTTGTTGAAAATGTGCCCGACGGACAGCGTGCGGATTTTCTACTGACCAAACATGAATGTTGCGAAAGTTATTCACCCCACTACGCGTGAACGTAGATTCGTCTGTCACCAATATGCACTTCAAAAAGTCCGGATTATTGTCATGTTGATGCAACAATCACTCACAAAACCGCACTCTTGCTGAAAAATCGTCAGGTTGAAGGGCTTGTACACGTTGGACGTGAAACGGATACAGCCCCTCTTCACGCAGCGTTTGCCACACTTTAGTTTTTGATACTTGCACTTCTCTAGCCACGTCTCTAGTGCTTGTTGTTTTTTGAAACGCAATCGATTATATGGGTTCGTTTACCTCTACACGCGTGACCGTAACCGTCGGTTGAAGGTTGCATACTGACCTGACACACTGACCCCGACCCAGTTCCGTCGTCGGGTTGAGCTAGTGTCCTAGTACCATTCGGGGATGTCGCGGCTACAGGACGGTATTCAGATATTTTTGATGTTGCAGAGCCCTTTATCTCGGTTCCCTTAAGACATTGGTGTATATGGTACTAAGAAAAATTGCTTATGTTTTCAAGATCTACACGTCGTGTAAAGGAAAACCCCAACTATTTGTCATTACGGCACACAATAATCAGAATCAAATACCAACATACGAGCAAAATATAGACAAAATATAATCAACCAGTGGAATATTGAAATCGGTCAATAAATGGGAGTGAAATTAATAATTAAATTTCGCGCATTGTAGTGCGAAATAGTTGCTGCCTCCAGTTTGCTGTTTTATTTTTCGCACATCACAATATTGAGTTTGTCATTTGACCCATTTTCTATTTGTTTTCAAATGACTAGACCGTACTAAAAAGCATGAAACGATGGTTGTTTATGGTCGCGAAGACGGAAAAAATACTAACTGCAGGGTCCAAAGAACATTTTGCAGTTTGACATGCCTTATTGACTGTTTACATTTAATCCTTCAAAATGAAAGCAAAATTGAAAATATCGCAGCTCCTCTATTGATGTTGCGGTGAACCATCTCTAATTGAATCACGCATTTCAAAACCTTATAAGTCACACAAATTGAACCTTTCAGTGATAAATAAGACCTGTGCCGTTCAACGAATTTGGAAGGACTTTTTGGGGCACAATAATATAGGTATTTGCATTTCAAAAGATTGAAATATAATTTACTCGTAATAATTAGTGCTTAAATCAAGCTAGATTCAGGAAGAAATACTCAACTGAAATGGCAATACAAATGGTTTTAGAGGATTGGAGGAGATGTATGGACAATATGAAACATACAGTGACGGTGTTTTTGGACTTCAAGAGGACGTTTAAAACTATTGACAGAGATAAATTACTTACAAAATTGCATCATTATGGGCTTAAAGGATCTGTATTCAAAAATCTACAAAACTACTTAAGTGACAGCATTCAAAAAAAAAACTATATATCTAACATTCCGATCGGTGTACCAAAAGGTAGTAAACTAGGTCCACTACTATTTATTTTATATATAAATGACGTTTGTCATATTTTTCATAGATTATTGTAAAATTCGGAAATTTGCAGATGACACATTAATAAACGCGCCCCTTCCCACTTCAGTTGGCCCACTTCAAGATTTGTACCAAAATATACCTTTATAAACTAAACATGACGAAACTATTTACTTCTAAAACAATTTATTTTCTCAAAAACATTTTAGATACACTCTAGTTGTGAAAAATACATATTTGAAATCACTTAGACATATAACTAATAGAACATCTGAACAAATAAACAATGTGCGAATAAATGCGCGAAGTTTTGGGTAAAATCACCTTTATTTTTTATTACGGCTGAAATTCTTTGAGGCATAGTGTTAAAAAAGATTTGGCAAAAATTTGGTGTAAAACAATCCCATATTTCTTGAAGCTTTTGTCTCAGTTCGGTGATTGTACGAGCAGGATGTTGTCGTAGAGCCTTTTTCATCTCGTGCCTCAAAGTTTCAATAGGTGACCGATCTGGACTGCTAGAAACCCATTTCAAAAGTGGTACATTATTTTCTTCCATCCATTTTATAGCCTTTTTGAGGTATGGCACGATCCACCATCTTGCTGGAACACAAAATCTTGTCCGGATGTCAAACATTCTTCCATCACTGGTAAAAGCGATTCTTCTAAAATTGCCAAATATTTGTTTGTATCCACATATCCATCAATAAAGTGAAGTTTTCCTACTCCTTTTGGTGACATACTGCCCCAGACCATAATGGATGCTGGAAATTTCACTTTTCTCTTCAGTCAACATGGACTGCTTCATTTTTTTGCGAATAACTCTACTGCGACTGTCACCAACACAAACTTCGAATCGGGCCTCGTCACTCCATTGTATTGCACACCATTATTGAGGTGTCCATTGTCTATGTTCTTTAGCCCATCTAAGGCAGCAGCGGTGGCCGCAGTAGTAGACTCTTCGGTCTCCTGATCAGTCGCCGTGCGCTGTGCGGGTTCGAGTCCCGTCCCAGGACAAATTTTTCTCTTGGCTATGGATGTTGTGATTGTCCGTAGGTGGTAGACGGTTTCTGACTGTCGAACGCGGAGGTACCACCCGGCGGATCTCGTAGGCGGAGCCAGAATGTGTGCATGTCGCATGCACACGTGTTCCCTCGCCAGAGTCTGTGTAGCGTTCCCCCTTTCCCCTGTAACCCTTATAGCCCCACGGTACCCAATGGGTGTTTAGGCCTTAGGCCTTCTTGGTAGTTGGAGTATAAAAAAAAATAAGCCGATTTTTCTTTTGCAGTGGAGTTAATGATAACTGTTCTTTGGCCTATAAACAAGTTGTGTAACTTTAGGGTTTTTATTTCAATTTTTTTTTATAAGAAAACTTACCTTGCAAGTGCTAAATCCCAGTTTGTGGGCCTCTCTATGAGTTGTGGACCTCGAAATTCTCCTTCCAACAGCGTCACTCCACAGAGAACTTAATTGTAAATAATTGGCACGTCTGTTTTTCACGATTATTCTTCTTAATGCTCTTCGGTCGGCATTTGTGATATCACTTTTTTTCACATATCGTGGCTTAATATTAACTGAGCCAGTTACGTTATATCTTCTAACAATATTTCTCACACTGTACCGCGATAAGTCTAACAAAGTTGCAATTTCTGAGTTTGATTTCCCAGAATTAAAAAATTTAATTATCAGTAATCGAATTTTCTCACTAATAACCTTTCCTTTACCCATTTTGAAAACCTTAACTACCCAAAACTATTTTAAACGTATTCTGACAGCTGTGATTAATAAAAACAATTGTTATATCTTTTATTTTTCACAGCCACCTATGCGTTATAGACTTATTTTGCATTGAAATGAAAATAGGTTGATATGCTGTAATTGCAACATGTGTTATTTTTATGCTGCAAATTTGATTCGGGAGTGATAAGGTTGGTGTCTTCTACTATATATTATCAAAATATTCATTGTTAATATTTTAAACCTATAACACCCTGAAACATTTTTATTATTTGTGTTTGATAAAAAAACAAAGCTTTCAATAGTTGGTCCAACTGAAGTGGGAAGGGGCATAGATGATGATATAGACACACTTTAAAAATGATAAATTCTGACTTGGCAAAAATCATAAATTGGTTAAATGTAAAATTGAATGCCTCTAAAACAAAATTTATGCTACTAGGGAAATACCTAAATGAAAATACTATCACAATTAGGGTAATTATTCCAAAAATTGCAAAAAAAAACAAATTACGTTTATAGGGCTTCTCATAGTCTTAGTACATAGTAAAAAAAAAGAAGTCGTAATAATGGGTTGTCCAATAGGGACGCAGGAATGTAAACGTCAATTTGACATAGACGCCATCTTTGTTTTCTGTCACCGACATGTCATTTTGTTAGTTGAATGTTTACCATTTATCGCTATGGAGTCGTATTCGATTGAAGACCGCATTAAAGTTATTCAAGAGCACTACAAAAATGGTGCAAAAATAAAAAACACGTTTCGCGCGCTTCGTGAACATTTCGGTCGCAACAACCGCCCAAAGGAAACAACCATCGGTCGTCTGGTGCGTAAATTCGAGGCAACAGGTTCTGTGGCAAATCTGCCAGGCTCTGGCCGGCCAAGGAGCGTTCGCACACCGGAAAATATTGCTGTTGTGAAGGAGAGTGTGAGAGACGATCCGAAACAATCAACAACACGAAGATCCCAAGAGTTGGGCATTTCGAGAACCAGTTTGCTCCGCATTCTCCACAAGGATTTGAATGTACACGCCTACAAGATCCAATTGACCCAAGAGCTGCGTCGGGCCGACCATTTTTCGCGCCGAACGTTATCAGATTGGCTCCTTGAACACCGCCAAATTGATGCCAATTTTTCATCAAAAATCATGTTCAGCGACGAAGCGCATTTCACTTTGAATGAGACGGTAAACAAGCAAAACTGCCGCATCTGGGCGAACGAAAATCCCCTTGAGTATCAAGAGCAGCCGATGCATCCTCAAAAAGTGACTGTGTGGTGTGCATTGTGGTCAAAAGGCATCATCGGACCTTACTTTTTCGAAAATGTGGCCGGGGACGCCGTTACCGTCAATTCTGAGAGATATCTCGTGATGATAGAGGACTATTTTTTGCCGCAACTTGATTGAATGAATATGGACTATGTTTATTTCCAACAAGACGGTGCAACATGCCACACAACCAACGTCAATATCAATCGATTGCAGTCTTTCTTCGGTGATCGCGTGATTTCGCGCAGAGGAAATGTGCCATGGCCACCAAGATCGTGCGATTTGACTCCCTTGGACTTCTTTTTATGGGGATATTTGAAAAGCAAAGTCTACGTTAACAAACCAGCCACCCTCCAAGAACTCAAAAACATCATTGCCGAGATAAATGCCATAGAACCGACCATGTTGCAAAATGTCATTGAAAATTTCGACCATCGCGTGGACGTCTGTAAATCCAGTCTTGGTGAACATTTGAGCGATATTATTTTTCATACATAAATGGTATAAATGAACATTCAAAATAAAGTACCCAACTTGATTTGAATATCAATCTTTCTTGTTTTAATATGCGTTTACTTTCCTACGTCCGTTTTGGACAACCTCATACAATTATTCTACAGCATTAACTCTATTCTTCATCTATCTTGTTCACTGCCAATGAAGCTGTATTCTCAAAATTACAAATCCTGCAAAACAAAAGTATGAAAATAATTTATATACGAGTATATAAACGGTCACGCCATAACTTGAAAACGACTTTACCGATTTCATTAACCGTTTTTTTTAAATTTCCTAATGCTGTATAGAAGGTTATTGCGGAAAGGAAGGTCAAGAAAATTGCGCGGAAAATTGGGAAATCATTGAAAACATGATTATTTAAGATACGCGCGTTTGATAGTTTGCTTGCGCACGGAGCACGCACAGCAGAAGAAATATCTCAAGTAGCAAAAGAGACAGGCACTCTTGAACGTCATGTTTATTCAACAGCTATTGATAGTTAGCTATGTGAGAGAAAATTGCTTACGAAAAACACGGTGCTTTCGTTTTTGGACTTACCACCCGCACTTTGTGATGGCCGCTTCAAAAAGACACTGCAGTGTATGGCTAATTGTTGTCTTTGTCAGTTAACTCTATGAATAAAAATGGCGGATGACACTAGGTTTCTTTTGCTTAACTGACTTTCACTACTATATTATACTAAGTGACATATAAATCCGAACACCCAGTTTAAATGGTTTTATTTTAATAAAAGTTGGTGAATGTATTTATCTTACTGTAAATAACAAGTGAAAAAATTTTCAGCCTTATCAGTTGGACATTCCGGTTTTTATACTGCTTTTTTTTAATTCACTAACGCTCTAAAAATGAATATTTCAGCCGCAGTAAAGAATCAACGTTGGCGGATTTTGGTTCTTGACATCCTTTACGATCGGTTACGATGCCTAGAGTACGGAGACCTGTACGATTTCGTCAACTTAGTGAGTTTGATAGGGGCCGTATAGTGGGACTTCGGGAAGCTGGACTTTCTTTTCGGGCAATTGCAGTTAGAGTGCAAAGAAGTGTAGACACTGTGGTTAGGTGTTGTCAGGCATGGCTTCGAGAAGGCCGTACGCAATGAGCAAGGGGCAGTGGACGCCGCCGTAGAACAACAGACCGTGAAGATCGCCGCCTAAGATTATTGGCCTTAAGGGACCGTTTCTCCACTACCAGGTCCATTGCAAATGAATGGTTTGAAGAACACGGAAGACCTATTGGCATGCGAAGTGTTTTCCGACGAATGAGAAGTTTTGGCTTGTTTTCATACCGGTCACACTGGGTCCTCCCTTTAACTCGAGAACACCGACGTAATTGCCTTGAGTGGTGCAGACAACGGTCACTCTAGGATCAGGAATGGAACAGTATTGTCTTTAGTGACGAGTCTCGATTTTGTTTAGGCATGCACGTTGGTCGTGCCAGGGTTAGAAGGCGACGTAGTGAAAGGAGGAATCCACAGTTTTTTGTTGAAAGACATGTTCATCACACTGTTGGAGTTATGGTTTGGGGTGCTATAGCTTATGGTTCCAGGTCACCTTTAATCTTCATCAGAGGTAACATGAACGCGCAGCGTTATATCCACGAAGTTCTAGAACCCCATCTTTTACCCTATCTTGACACCCTGGCAGATCCAACTTTCCAACAAGATAATGCCCGACCACATGTTGCAAGAGTCACAATAGACTTCTTTCAACATAATGATGTCACATTGTTACCATGGCCACCAAGATCTCCCGACTTATCCCCAATTGAGCACGTGTGGGATATGATGGGTAGGAGATTGCTCAATTTGCAACGTCCTCCTCAGACTCTAGAAGCACTTCGAGAGGAGTTGGTGGTTGGCTGGAATGAGATACCACAGGAGGACATTGACCACCTGATCAGAAGCATGCCTAGGCGCGTTGGAGAATGCGTAGCACATCAGGGTGCATCCACACATTATTAAAGGTCAGAGGGCTTTAAAGCAGTGCAATCATTTTGAAATTTTTATCATTTTACTTATTATGCTTCATTAAGTACTTATACAAAATTTTATTAAAATAAAACCATTTAAACTGGGTGTTCGGATTTATATGTCACTTAGTATATTTTGAACTTGACAGCTCGCACGCCGCAAATTTTCAGTTTGTTCAGTGAGTTTTGTTGAGAAGTATTTGTTCAAGAATAATTAACAACGGTGGAAGTTAGTTCACCGGAATCACGCCGTATATTAAAATTGTTATTCTTCAAAATGCCACCAATTAGACATACCAACCTAGGTCGCAGAACTCGCAATGCTGCAAGTCAAAGATATATACGAAGAAGTCAAACTGACAACGTAGTAGAAGTAGAAGTGCCGTATTTAATCCCAATAGAGCTGCAATTATGACGCGGCAATCGATTACAGTTCAGAACAAATCGTTGCTATTGGACCAATGAACGTTGTGAGTCCACATTGCAAGGCTTTCAAGTTTAAAAATGAGGCCCCTGGATTATGTTGCGTCAGTGGAAAGGTCAAATTGACTCCATTGGTACCACCACTAGAGTCACTACATTCATTGGTTTCTAGAAATGGGCCATACTCTATACATTTTTTGTCTCATATCCAGCAATACAGTAATAACACTGATCAACAGCCAAAAAATATCCTAAATAAAATCAACAAAATATTACTATTTTTAATGTGCTAAAACCGGAATGAAACTTATTTTTTCAATTTTAGTTCAAGTTTTAGAGATACGGTAATTATATGTGTTCCTGCTGTGACAGTGTTAATATACTGTAATTCACAAGAATGCACGTGCTACATTTTTATATTCGGCAAGGAAAGATGATGTAATCGGCATGATTGTGTTACGTTATACATACGTGTACATTATATTGTTTTATATTAGCCATTTTTTCCTCAGTTGGCTGACAGCGTTCATGCAAGATGTCTCGAATGTGTGTAAACAATCCAGATCAGTTTTGTTACGTGTGTGGTGATGTGACTTTTGCGTCTCAGAGACGGTCTATTACTCCACTAATAACAAAGGCATATCAGCTTTATTTCGGTTGTAAACTAGGTGATCAAGACAAACAGTGGGCACCCCACATCTGCTGTAATACATGTGCTTCAAGTCTGAGGAGCTGGTTAAATGGCAAAAAACGGTCTATGCGCTTTGCTGTCCCAATGGTTTGGAGAGAGCCTACAAATCATATTAATGATTGTTACATTTGCATGGTACCTTGTGCTGGACAAGCCACAGGTATGTCCAAGAAAAAAAATCGGTTATTAACTACCCAAACATACCATGTGCGATGAGACCTGTGCCTCACAGTGACGAAAATCCTATTCCAAAACCCCCAGAATCCTACACTTGCGAATCAGAAAACGAATCAGATCATGGCGATCGAGTGATTCGTCAGGAAGAAGATATGCCATCAACGTCAAGAGATCCTCATTTTATACCGAGCACGTCATGCCACCAACCGCACAAAATAACACAGTCAGAATTAAATGATCTTGTAAGAGATTTAGAACTTCCAAAATGTAAGGCAGAGTTACTTGGATCAAGACTGCAGCAGTGGAACTTGTTAGAAGACGATGTTTCGGTATGTGTTTTTCGTAAACGCCACAAAGACTTGAGTTTAAATGCAGTGTTATTGCATATTGGAAATATTTTACCATCTCTTCCTGTAGGGTATGCAGTTCACATGAAAGAATCATATGACAATATGAAGTATCTATTGACATGCATAAAATACGATGAGCACCAATGGCATATTTGTAGCGATTTGAAAGTTGTTGCACTTTTACTTGGGCTGCAGCTAGGCTACACAAAGTTTTGCTGTTTTTTGTGTGAATGGGACAGTCGGGCAAAGGCACTCCATTACACCAGACAAAACTGGCCTGTCCGTCAATTCCTAGAGCCAGGTCAAACAAATGTACAGCCTAGAGCCATTAGTAGATTCAAAAAAATTTTATTACCACCACTGCATATCAAGTTGGGCCTAATGAAAAACTTTGTCAAGGCATTAGATAGAGATGGGTCAGCTTTTTAATACCTGCGTCAGAAATTTCCAAGACTAAGTGAGGCAAAGGTTAAAGAAGGTATTTTTGTTGGGCCACAGATTCGAAATATTTTGAAAGATACACAGTTTGAAAACACTTTAACAGGTATTGAAAAAACTGCTTGGAATGATTTCCGTCACTAATTTCTTGGGAAATAGAAAAGCTGACAACTATAAAACCCTTGTCAGAAATATGCTGTCATCGTATCAAAAGATGGGCTGTAATACGTCTCTTAAGATATGTTACATTTCCTACACTCACACCTGGACTTTTTTCCTGACAATTGCGGAGCCGTAAGTGATGAGCACGGCGAACGTTTTCATCAGGATATTTCAACAATGGAAAAAAGGTACCAGGGAAAGTGGAATCCTTCCATGCTTGCAGACTACTGTTTGGACTCTTGGTAGAGATGCTCCAGAAACGATCCATAAAAGAACAGCAAAAAGGCAGCGCATATAGTGATTCTAATAAGTATATGAATCTTGTTACTTTTTTTAATATATCCTTAAAAATAAAAAGTTTTTTTCTAAACCGCAACTAATTTTTTTATTTCATTGTCATTTTTGGATTCAGCGCCCCAAAATTAACAAAGAAGTGCACTTTTCCCACAAGATACAATTAAAAAACTAAAATTTGTTGTCCAGTGTAATTGCTTTGAAATGACGTCATTTGATGCAACAACATTCATTCCACATAATTTTATGCCTACTTTCAAGGTTAGTTGATGGGGGAATTACAGTGCTGCCAACGAATTTTGCTAGCTACATGGCGATACATACACTTCGCTATACATATTCCATATATTTACTTTTATTATTCATTGCAGTTCATAACTAAGACAGGACAACCTCTGTCGGGTCAGCTAGTATTTAAAAATAAGTACACCATATTAAAATATATGTTACAAGAGTTGCAGTCGTTGAATATAAAAAATTCCATATCATATTTGATTCTTATTTTTATATATATTTAAAATAAAAAATCATTTGTTGCCACAACATTTAGAATGGTACATAAAATTGAATAATCGTTACCACAAATATTATACAAGAGGAAATATAGATTTTCATTTACAAAATTACAAGGATTGCTTGAATTTAATAAAATAATTATATAAAGTATACTTCTAATTTAAAGATATTTAACAGAAAATTGATGGAATATTTCATGGACAGTGAAAATTCTTAGAGATGCACATTTTGCTTGTGTATCAGTGTATTATGTAATTGTTTTAGTTTTTTAAAAGAATATGATTGTAGCAATCATGCTAAATAAATCTTAAACAAACAAAAGTTAGGAGGAACTTTTGGAGGCACAATAATATGGAATATAATTTAAGCAAGATAATTTTCATGATTATTGCTTAAATCACTGACTTATATTGTTTATGCAATGCGAGAATTGTACTGACTTAAGAGTCTTATACCCAGAATAGGCATATATGTTTAAGAAAGCGTTTTCATCAAACATTCTGGAAAAAAATATGTTTTCAGTGTTTTTTGAAATGACCGATACAATTATTTTCGAATTACAGGCACACGGTTCGTTCATACTTCCGAAGGAAAATTTTTAATCACCCGTTTGATACCTTGTCCTCAGTGTCTGAAACTGAACGAAGAGCAAAACACGAATGAATTTTCGTTCCCTAATCCACAGCTATTGGAAGCTATGGGACAAGCTCATGAACAAGGATTTAATGACAGGCACAGGTAAGAGATTGTATAATAACATACCTTTATTACTTAAAAACCTCTATCATAACAGTAGCAGTGTTTTTGGACTTCAAAAGGGCGCTTGAGACTATTGATAGAGATAAATTACTTACAAAATTGCATCACTACGGATTTAAAGGATGTGTATTCAAAATTCTACAAAACTATTCAATTGACAGAAGTCTAAAAACCAAAATTGGATCTACATTATCAAGATCAAAAAATATTTCTGTTGGTATTCCACAAGGTAGTAAACTAGGTCCACTACTTATTTATTTTATACATTAATGACATTTGTAATATTTTAGATTATTGTAAGCTTCAGATATTAGCAGATGATACATTAATATACATATCAGATCATAGACACTGCTTTAAAAATGCTAAATTCTGACTTGGCAAAAATCGTAAATTGGTTCAATGTAAATAAACTAAAATTGAATACTTCTAAAACAAAATGTATGCTAAAAGGGAAATACCTAAATGAAAATACTATAACAGTTAGGATAAATGGAGAAATAATTGAAAATGTTGAATCAACTAAATATTTAGGTATATACAGGGTGACTTCGAAGTTGAGTCATTTATTTTAACAGTGAGTAGATCTGATCAAAAGAAATGTTTTTTTCCTTTACCATTTTTCTGGTAAAATTAAAGTAACAAAGTTATAGCCCCTTGGAAGTTTGAGTACCGCCCTGTCTCAATAATAATATTATGTGCTCGTGTTTGGCAACAACGGATATAATCCGCGTTATGGGTTCATCGCATCGGAAACAAAAAAGCGAAAGAATTTGGAACGATGTTTTTACAATTATTTTATTCAGTTGTATACAGTCAGTGTCAGTCGGTAACGCGTGAGTGAATAGTGGTGTCTGTTGCGTGGCTCAAACGAAATAAAAAATGGCACATGTTTATGCGGATCGGTTTCCCAATCGAGTGCAACCAACCCCTCGTGCCTTTGTTAATGTAGTACAACGGGCTCGTGAATCAGGTGACTTAAGACCTCACAGGGGACGGCATGCCTGTGCTCCAAGACCTCACGATCAAATACAGGTCCGCACTGAAATACTTGTCGGGAGGATACTATATAAAACAAGGTAAAATTTTTTTTTTATTTTTATTTTATTTTTACACACATATTTTGGTTTATCTTCCTTCTACAATCATTATCTGAAAATTAATGACTCAACTTCAAAGTCACCCTGTATATTGATAGTAAACTAAAGTTTAAGGATCACTATGAATACATTATTTCAAAAATTGTCTGAAAAATAAATTACTTTTATAAGGCTTCTCATAGTCTTGGTACCTTTTCCAAGAAAATAGTTTATAATACAATTATTCTACCGCATTTACTATATTGTTTAACTATCTTGTTGACTGCCAATGAAGCCGTATTCTCAAAATTACAAGTCTTGCAAAATAAAGCTATGAGAATAATATTGAATAAGAAACAGTACACCCCACTAAAATCTATATTACAAGAATTGCAGTGGTTGAATATAAAAAATTTCATATCATATTTGGTTCTTATTTTTATATTTAAAATAAAAAGTCATCTTTTGCCAGAACATTTAGAACACTACATAGAATTGAATAATCATTACCACAATTATTATACAAGAGGAAATGTGGATTTTCATTTACAAAATTGCAACAGTAATATAACTAGCAAACCAATATTTCAGAAAGGATACTTGAATTTAATAAACTAAATAACGATATAAAGTCTACTTGTAATCTGAATATATTTAAAAGAAAATTAGAGGAATTTTTCATGGACAATGAACATTCTTAGAGATGCAAATTTTGTTTTTTTTTCAATATACAGAGGACCCCCGATAATCCGGCCCCTGTCTAATCCGGCACCCCCTGTAATCCGACATGTCTTTGAATATTACATACAACGTATTTGACAATCTTCGCTAATGTAGATCACGCAGGTTTGAACAGGTTACAACTTGTACGCGCCACCGCTATCGTACTTGACGCGTAAGCATTGTTTTACTTAGTTTGAATTTGACTACTGGTGATAGCGGTACGGCCTAGCGTGCGTTCATTGTTTACTATTTATTCATTGTGTATTAAGTATAGTACCTAGTAATGTCATCACAAACTCAGAAGCGAAAGCACAAAACATTGACAACTAAAGAAAAATGTGATATTTTAGACCGCTTAAATCGCAATGAAACTTTCAGTAGTTTAGCAAGTGAATATGGCGTAGGGCGATCTACAATTTATGACATTAAAAGAAACCACGAGAAGATCAACAAGTTCGTGTCAACTTCTGACTGCGGGCCAGGGAGGAGACAGACACTCAAGAAAGCTGAACATCCAGAAGTGGAAGAAGCTTTGTACATGTGGTTTCTTTAGAAAAGAAATAGGCATGCACCCACTACCATGTGCTAACGCTGCGGGCACACACGCATGGATGACAAAAGACCTTTTCAAAAAGTGGTTTGATGAATGCTTTGTACCTGAAGTTAGAAAATGGTTAAAAGATCATAATTTTTCTCAAAAAGCGTTGTTGCTTCTTGATAACGCTCCCGGTCATCCGTCTGAAGAAGAACTAACAACTGAGGATAAATGCATCACTGCGATGTTTCTTCCGCCAAATTGCACTGCACTGATTCAACCAATGGACCAGAATATCATTCAGTTTGTCAAGCAAGACTATAAGAAAAACCTACTTCTGAGAGCCGTATCAAAAGACCAACCAATAGAAAAAACTTTAAAAGAATTTAATATGAAAGACTTGTTTTTTGCACTTTGTCAGTCGTGGAATGCGTTAACGTCATCAACTATTAAATCGTCTTGGAAAAAGTTATGGCCAGATATAGTCACCACTCTTAGCAACGTTCCACAAATCAGTGTTACTTCGGAAGTTATAGAACAACTCGCTACTGAAACACAGATAAGTCCGGAAGATTTCGAAATCTGGTGCCATGGAATGGATAAAGAGGAAAATGTTTTTTCATGAAATGTCTGACGAAGAGATTATAAAAGAGATTTCTAATTATACAACAAACAATCAGGATAGTAACGACGACGTGATTGCAACTGCTCCACAAGTCATAGCACAAGATGCAATTAACGCCTTTGAGCTAGGTTTACAATGGGCTGAAGAGAATGGTACGTCCTACAACGAACTTTTACTTTTGAGAAGACTGGGGGACAAAGCTCTGATCTCGCGTTATAACAACCTTAAACAAAAAAAAATTGATGATATTTCCAAGCTTCATAATTTGATATATTCATTAATGATTTTGATTAATAATTCTTGATTATTTTGGTACATATGTATGTGCATTTATGCTTAATGCTATAATAAAACGTAAGCTCTCTATTGTTATTTAATTTACTAAATTCGACATACATAAACTATGTATGATTTGTACCTCAAAGTACATAGCATATATGTAGATGTAATCTTACCGTTGGATATGTAATTTGTGGGATTACAAGGTATACTTTATCTGAAGTCACTTGAAACACTGTGAAATACCGGGTGCGTTTTATATATCTATATTTAACACGCTCTGTTGCTGCAAAAATCGCCAAATTTCGCAGCAAATATCCCCCGTATAAGATCAAAGGCAGTTTCACCGGTCCATGTGGAGTAAAGCACGCCTATGCGTGGACATAGCCAATGAGAAAGCGTGTATTTCAGAGCTCGGAACAAGTGCAGGTGGCTACTGAAAATTGAAACAGTTTAGCCAGTGACGTGTAGCGGTGAATAAACGTGTTTTCTTTAGTCTGTCCGTGTTTTTTCATAGATTTTATTAGTTTGTGTGTTTTTGACTTTTGAATACTCAGTTTACTTGTTGATTTAATTGTTGTGTTGATTGTTCTTGTGTGTCCTAAATATGGCTCTTTGGAGACCTTGCAAAAATGCTCCAAGCCACGAGGAGATGGTTGATGAACCTGTGCAGGCAGAATTCTTTCATAAAGATTTAGAGGAACAGACCCAAAGAGTAATCCTAAATATGTATGATTGTCTGAAAAACGAAAATCCAGGTTCCTCGCAAAATCAAATTTTAAACAGAATTTGTATCCTGACAAAAATCAGTCGGTCTACCATTTATCGGGTTATAAAAAGGGGAGATGTAGTCAACCATTCCTTCCACAGAAAGCGCATAGGGCAAAAATTAAAAAGAATAGACGTGGGTTTTCAGGAAGATATTCGTCGTATAATATACGGATTTTATAAAGAAAATTTGGTGCCCACGTTGGAAATGATACGGGATAAATTAAAAGATTATCCTGAAGTTTTTTATAATTACAAATGCTTAGACTCACTGCACTGTATTGTAAAACTGTGTGGTTTTCAATACAAAAAATTAGATAAAAGAATGGTGATTATGGAGTCGTCTCGAATCGTTGAATTGCGCCAAGAATTTTTGCACAAAGTTAAAATCTATAGAGAGCAGAAAAGAAATCTGATTTACCTGGATGAAACGTGGTATGATACCCATGATGTTGTGCAGTACGGCTGGGTTGACGACAGCAACAAGTGCATTTTAAATGCACCATGCAACCGTGGAAAACGAATCATTATTCTCCATGCTGGCAGTGAAAATGGATTTATACCTAATGCCTTGCTGTTATCTGCCAAAAATATCAAAGAATCATGTGCCGACTATCATGAGGACATGACCTCCGACTTATTTGAAAAGTGGATAGAGCAGCAGTTAATACCAAACATTTCCCCAAATTCAGTGATTATTATGGACAATGCGCCATACCATTCCCGACAGAAAAACAAAATTCCGAATACAGGCACAAAAAAACAAGACTTCATTGATTTTATGAAGGATAAGGGAATGGAAATACCACAAAAATCAACCAAAGCCATATTATTGGATCTTATTAAAAGACAAAAATTTGAAAAAGATTATGTTCTTGACAATCTGCTTCAGCACAATGGCCATGAAGTATTACATCTACCTCCCTATTACTGCATTTTTAACCCGATTGAGTTGGTCTGGGCTGCTTTG